GCAAAATTTTAAGAAGGAACTTAGAATTAATAACAAAGGGCTGCTTTACAGATATTTTCAAGGGGTCTTCCAACTGTGAATTGTTGCATAGGAAAATTAAAGAGGTATATATTTGAAAATGTAAGAAGGAGGCTCTCATGAAATGAGAAAAGACAGTCTCTAAAAGATCTTCAGAGACAAGCTATGCATATGTGTAGTATGACCCAAGTAGGAGGAGTGAGCTGGGAGAAAAAAAATCACATTTGTTCAAAAAAGAGCAAAGTTAGAATGTTATTTTTATGGCGTTTCAGATAGATTTTAACAACATAAGACTGTATTTATCTAGTCAAAAGATTAAAAAGTTGCAAAATAAGATTTTATGTGACTTGAGATTTATGTACAAATTTACAAATTACTACATATCTTTCAAGATTGTTAACAGAAAGATTCTTCTAGAATCAGGAGAGGCTTGAATAAGAAAAATTAAAGGGATGTCCAAATCAGAGAGATGTTTGCCACTGAATGGTCAGAGAGATAGAGAGGTATGCACAAAATATGGTAAAGCTCCATATTAAAAATACTGAATTTTCACTAAGTACAGAAAAACACAGGTTAGAGACAGATCTGGGTTTTACCATCTGTAGTTGGTGACAGGATTCTAAGTTAATATTTGCAAATGCTGTTAACCACAGATTCTTTTTCATTATTTAGATCCCTGTTACAGGGGAAGTGTGATGTGGATTCAGGAGAGAATGCAGTGGATGAAAACTCTGAAACCTGTGAAGAACATGCTGAAGAGTAAGGAGAGAAGAACAGATGAAAAGAAATGATACTACAGCAATCATCTTTTCTATTATTGTAGCCATTCAATCAGATTATTTCATTATTTAGATCAACAAAAAGCTCAACTGGAACTGAAGCTGGTCAAAAACGTGGGGGATAATGAAAAGAGTTTTTTCAAATACATTAATGGCAAGAGGCAGTAGAAAAATATAATTGGCCCATTACAAGATGAGGATGGTCACCTCACAAACAGGGACAGAGACAAGGCAGAAGTTGTCAACACTTTCTTTGCCTCTATTTTCAACACAGATGATGGACCAAGGGGGTCCTGAGCTGGAGGACCATGACTGAGAATGATCAACATCCAGTCAATCCTGAAACTGTGTGGGATCTGCTGCTCCAGCTGGATCCCTGTAGATCTATGAGGCCTGATAGGATTCATCCAACAATCCTCAAAGACCTAGCTGATGTCATCACAAAACCTCTCTCAATGATTTTTGAGCAGTCTTGAGATCCAGACAGGTCCCAGATGACTGAAAGCCAGCAAACATCCCAATTTTCAAGTAGGGCAAGAAGGAGGACCTCAGAAACTACAGGCCTGTCAGTCTCACTTCAGTGCCTGGTAAAGTTATGGAGAAGATTATTCTGGGAAGTATTGAAAAATGTCTTAAAGACAATACAGTCACTGGTCACAGTCAGCATAACTTCATGAGAGGAAAGTCCTGCTTATCAAACCAGATTTCCTCCTATGACAAAGTAACCCACCTAGCTGATCAAGGGAAAGCAGCTCATATAATCTTTAGAGATTTCAGTAAAGCTTTCAATGCTGTCTTTCACAGGATCCTTCTGGACAAAATGTCCAGCACACAGCTGGATAAACACATCATGTGGTGGGTGAGCAACTGCCTCACAGGTCGAGCACAGAGAGAAATAGTGAATGGGGTAACATCAGTCTGATTAGGCTCTGTGATTTCAACATCCTCATAAATGACTTGAACATAGGACTGGAAGGGATACTAAGCAAATTTGTAGATGGCACAAAACTAGGAGGAGCTGTTGACTGCCTCAAAGGTAGGAAGGCCCTGTAGAGAGACCTCGACAAATTGGAGAAATGAGCAATCACCAATCATATGAAGTTCAACAAGGGGAAGTGCCAGATTCTGCATCTGGGATGGGACAACCCTGGATGTTCGTACACATCCGGGGAATGAGATGCTGGAAAGCAGTGCCATGGAAGAGGGACCTGGGAGTCCTGTCTGTAGCAAGTTGAATATGAGTCAGTAGTGCCCTGGCAGCCAGGAGGGCCAACCGTGTCCTGGGGGCATCAGGCAAAGCATCTCCAGCCAGTCAAGGGAGGAGATTGCACCACTCTGCTCTGCACTGGGGTGGCCTCACCTTGAATATTGTGTGCAGTTTTGGGCACCACTATATAAAAAAGATATTAAGCTACTGGAGAGTGTCCAAAGGAGGGCAACAAAGATGGTGAAGGGCCTTGAGGGGAAGCCCTATGAGGAGTGGCTGAGATCACTTGGTCTGTTCAGCCTGGAGAAGAGGAGACTGAGGGGAGACCTCATTGCAGTCTACATCTTCCTCATGAGAGGAAGAGGAGGGGCAGGCACTGATCTCTTCTCTGTGGTGACCAGTGACAGAACCCAAGGGAATGGCCTGAAGTTGTGTCAGGAGAGGTTTAGGTTGGATATTACAAAAAAGGTTCTTCATCCAGAGGATGGCTGAGCACAGGAACAGGTTCCTGAGGGAAGTGGTCGCAGCGCCAAGCCTGACAGAGTTCAAGAAATGTTTGGATGATACTCTTGGGCACATGGCATGACTCTTGGGGATGGTCCTGTGCAAGGTCAGGAGTTGGACTTGGTGATCCTTGTGGGTCCCCTCAAACTCGGTCCATTCTGTGATTCTGTTACTCTATGATTCTATGAATTTTGATACAACTATGGTATTTGCCCAAATACTTGATGCAGTTGAAGGACTCCATTGAGTTAAACAGGCTTTGAATCAGGGTCTGTTCTGCCCTCTCAAACCCAACAATACACTTTTGCCCTATAACATTCTCAAAAGGCAACTTGCCTAAGTCAAATTAGCCCATCAAAATATTGTTAGCACTAATTAACTAGTAAATCAACAATTACTTTACTAGTTAGCATATCAGTGCTCCCTAGAGTAATTTTTTATGACTCAGTTATTTTATTTTCTGCAAATATCCTTACCAATTAGAGCGAGGCAAGTGTGTGATTACTTAGAAACATGATTCTTATTATTTGAAAATTAGAAGATGTAATAGATCTACATTTTTAGAAAGTCTTGCTTAAAAGTCAGAAAACAAAGAGCTTACTTTGAAGTTAATTTGGTTTTGAGCTCTAAATAATATGTGGTTCCAGTTGCATGCAGTTGTTTTTGTTAATCCATCAGAGTTGAATTAAAACTGTGTGAAACTGCTCAAAGTCCATTTTACTCATAGCATGGAGATGTTTAGTTGAGGAAGACCAAATTTTCAAGTATTTCTCTGCTATGTTTTCTTAGCTAAGATGAGGGAAAATTATATTCTGGCCATGTCTGATCTTCAATTTTATTTTTTTCTTATAGCTTTCTCTTAATTTTTCAGTTTTTTCTCTCTATATTATGTAATGTGAAACAAGTGTCTTCGTCTTTGGAAGTTATATTGTAACTTATAGTAGTTTTCAATAAAACACAATACTTATATTCCTACATTAGTAAATTTTACTTATGTGCACTTAGAATTATTTTAAAACTGTTGTGGTATGGTTTTTTCATGAAAACTATATTTACATTTAGGTGAGCAGGTATTTTCTGGACATAAAATGGGAACATATTTTATACGTATCTATATTTCTATAGTTCACAGACCATGTGCTTACACAAGTAGAAAAGGGTTTTTCCTAAGGCAATAAATACTTCTCTATTACTATAAAATATTATATTTTATAGTATTAGTTGTATTTTACTAAAACACTAAAAGTAAATCTGATTTTTCTGCAAAGGGAGGCCAAGGGAATCAAACGATTAACACTACACAAAGGCAACCACGAAAACTCATCACCCCACAGTTAAGAGAGAAAGTTGATCAAAAGACATTTTTCTGCTATTAAGAATTTTGATTCATTTACACAGGTAATGGTTGCAGGTGCTGGAGGCACTGCCCTTGACTTTCTTTTGCCACCCCTTTGCTGTATCTCACTGCAGCTACATAATGAGATCAGAAGCTTGCCCAGCTCTTATCTCCCTCACTGTATATTCTGTCTCCTTAGCTCAGCTCTTCCTCCACTCCCAATTTGCCACAGGATGCCAAACTCTGCCCTGAAGCAATCAGTGTGCACACACAAGCTCTCTCCTGCCAGCTCTGCTGTGTGGGCAGTAGTCTTCAACTAAGAGGAGTACCAATAGCTAAGATGACTGTATCTTAACTAACTTTTTCTGAAAATTTTAACTGAAATATTTTCATGACATTCTTCCCATGACTAAGAAAAAGAGAACTTGAGTTTGCATTAAGATAGATAGATAGAAAATATGGTTCAAGTTATCAGTCTTTCTGCTTTTATTGTGAAGACTGTCAGCTAAAATCCAGGATATTCTTGTATGGTAGAGATGCATATTTTTCTCTCTCAGAAATACTTAGAGCATATTAGCAAGACTGGCTAGAAAAGGCTTAGGGAAGCAAGCAGGTATGTGTTTGATGTATTTTACTCCAGTTTTCATGGAAAAAAAAATCACAAATCTAATGTATTCTCCATAAATAAATAAGACTGTAATTGAGACTAAGTATTTTCATCCAAAAATTTATTTATCCAAGTTGGCTGCTTGGATAAATCCATTCTAACTAAGAAAAACTAGGAAGATTTTAGGTACGCAAAAATAAGTGTCTAAATTAAAGTGATTAGTGTTCCGTATTTACTTTTAATTTAAATTAGTTTTGCAACAAATAGTATAGATTATAGGAGACGTTTACTGCTACCTTTGAAAGAAAGCACTTCAACCAGCAGATGAATTTCAGATGTGTTACTTGTTTAATAAATGACCAGCATCGCATTTCAGAGCATTTCTATGTTTTTTAGGGTTCCTTTTCCAGTCTCACCTACTACAAGCCTGCTCAACACACGAACTACTGTCAAACTGTAGTATTGGTGAGATGATTAGGAGCTAAAAATTATTCTGATTGCAGTAGCAATAAATTAATGTAAATAATTCACAGCAACATGCAGACTGACCTGTCCAGTAATAGGTTAGGTGCAAATAAAAGCTTTCCTGGGTGTTCCATGGAGCGCCAGACTAAGCCGATCATCAGTATCTCTAACCAGGCACATTCCAGTAGATGGACCTGATCATGGAGTGTTAAATCCACAAATCCTGAAAGAATAAATAGAAGACAGTAAAAACACTCCAGTTTTGTGAGTGGAACAACATTATTCAGAGAACCAGGTTAAAAAGTGCATTAAAGCTGGATAATCAAAAAGAGCAACAAAAGAGACATTTTTTCACATTTCATTTTGGACTGAGTTTTGTCTGTTATTAGGTCCATCCTAATAACGATTCCATCCTACCGAACAGTCAGTACTTTCTAGCCCCCTCTTTGTGTCCCAGCTGTACCCTTTGCCAAAAGCAGAGCAAGAGCCAGGACAGCATCTGTATCCCTACACCTGTTGCCAGTGGCTTGGGAAGCCATTGTAGAAAGGGCCATCTGTCCACCCCAGTGCCACTTTGCTTGGGGCATGACGGAGATAAAATGGAAAAATGCCTTACAAAATTAAATGACAGCTCAAATTAGCTAACCCAAGATCAATTTTCCTGGTGGAATGCTGTTTTATAAACTCACGAACAATTCATCCTACTGCAAATGCTGTACTTGTGTGGAAGAGGGCCCACATATAGCATTTCAAATAAACTAGTAAGCAAATGCTGATTACTGCCCAATCAGAATTCACTGATGAAACACTTGTTTGTATTTCTATTGGTATATAGCACCTGGAGGAAGGAGGTGACGTCTCTTACTCTATATTTAAATGCTGGAAACAATGAATGTAAAATGAAGAGATTGCTTATAACAATTACTAAAAAAATTAATATGAAAGAATAATGATGAAGGCAGATATGAAAACATAATCACAGTGGCCCTTCCTGTGTTCATTACATGGAACAGATTGCATTATTCTCTATTTGAGTTTCTCACTTTTCATGAATGTTACCTTCAATCCAAAGGGAAAATTGCATAGTTCAATTTATTAAATCTTGCATAACTAATTCCTTGCAATTAGAAGGAACTTCTTAAATTGAAATGTGTAGAAGTTGCCTTAAAAGAGATCTTATTTATCTTTTCCTCAATGTTATGAGTGTAACACATTATTATATGAACTTTGCCATATTTTTTCTTATTTGGTAATTATTATTTACACTAGTCTTCAGAATACAGTTTGTAGGGTAAACTACCTTACCAGCCCAGTAAATGGCAGGATTTTCCTTCTGTATTGTGTCCTCTCTGTATATACTGTTTTAAGGAATATACCTGACATATCAAGTGCTATCTTGAGAAAAAGGAAGAAAAAAGGCACATGTTTTTAAAGATAAGTGTTGTGCTATGAAATATATTTTTCAAATAACAAAGAGGTAGAGAAGGAAAAAAATAAAGTTCACAATAACTTTGAAAATACTGTTATGTTTGGTAAAACATATATTGTTGATATAATTATTTCTAATGAAAATATCTGAGAGAGCTAATCAATCTATTCACAAAGAATCATTCAAAAAAAAGGAAACAGCTTGGACACATCTGAAATAAAACCCACCTATCAATCACTAGAAGTGAATTTAGACAGTTGCATTACCTGATGTTTTTATGAAAGTGGTAACAATAGGGGAAAAAATAATTGCCTTTTCCTGTATTTTGCCTTTATTATCAAATACAATTTTCAGACTTCAAAGACTGATGGAATGGCATTTGTCTGAGTCACCAAACAGCCTGAACAATTGAGCTGAAACTTAAAAGAGTAACATTCTTAACAACAAAGCATTTGTTACAGCACTCAAACAACACTGGCAGAAAGAAACTCTCAGTATATGGAGAACAAATAATAATCCCCATGTTTTCTTTTAAGTATTGCCTTAGTATGATAACACATAATAATGCAGTGCTTTTTCCTACACTTGAAGAGTATGACAGAAAAGCAGGGACACGAGTCCAGGTGTGGTGTCTGAAGTTTGCAATAACTGCCTTCCTTACAAGTCAGTTACATTGCCATCATTTCACATGGCTGCAGACTTTCCTGCAACAGATTGTTTTGATTCTTGCAGAAAAACTGAGCTTGTCACAACAGTGGCAATTCACTTTCCTTAAAACTCTGCTCATTCTACAACATTCTGGGTACCAAAATGCTTTGCTTTGTCTTCACACTGTCTCAGTCTTTATTTTTGCTGCACTTATTCTCAAAAACCTTTTAAGCCCTTTTTATTAGCTCTAGTTTCCCCATCCCCACAGACGAAATTCAGATTACACCGAGGCCAAGTAATCTGCACAAAAACTAAAGAGAGAAAGTAAAAAATAAAGTTAATAAATTACCTCACTGATACTGTAGAGCAGTGATATTGTGTTGGCCTACTGAGAATAGATATATACTACCCAACATCTTGTAAAGTAGTTGAATGTGAACACTTTGCATTAAAAAGTCCTAAAAGGATTGGTCAACAATATTAATTTTGTCTAGAATTTTAATTCCATAAACTCAGTAAAGTTAAGAAAATTTTAAAAACTTAGGAACGGAAAGAAAATTATTGTGGGTCCATAGTTTAAAGAATTAAATGATCTGTCAGCCTGACACCAACCGTGGGCATCAGAGCTAACACAGACTTTGATTAATGCAGGTTTAAAAGTCTGTATTTTAATAATACACATCAACTTTAATTCATAGAAAAAACTTACCAAATTGCCTCGATGACTTTTTTAGATGACATTTTAAGTTTATTATCTTTGCTGGAGATAAAACTAGCATGTTAGTTTAGATGATAAAACTAAACATCTTGCCCAGAGAAGCTGTGGATGCACCATCCCTGGAAGTCTTCAAGGCCAGGCTGGGCAGGACTTTAAGCAAACTGGTCTAGTGGAAGGCATCTCTGCCCATGGCAGGGGGGTTGGAGCAAGATGATCTTTAAGGTCCCTTCCAACCCAAGCCATCCTATGATTCTATGAAATAACAATTCTGATGAAACAGAGTTCTGTGAGACATCTGATTTTGTAAAAACATGCAACACATTAACTGAATGAAAATATTTTAAATTACATATGGCAAAAGGGTAATAATAAATTGAAGTGTTTCTAAAGAAAGGACATACAGTTTATGTATGTCTAGCCTAGACAATTTTTTAATGACGACATGGGAAAAACCAGAAATCATAGTTTAAATATCCTGTTGGTGTGTGGGAAATAATGCAAGAGCAGGTTGATAATGTAAGCATTGAAAAATATGCCCTCTAGTGAGGAAGAAAAGGAATTCAGTTACTTCTTGTGAAGCTAAATAGTCTAGAGGGGTTTAAGGACAGCAATGGGAAAATATCCACGGAAAAAGATGATTTTGCATTGCAAAAGGTAATAAGATAACAAAGAGAACCTCATGCTGAAAACTAAATCTGCTCCAAGTCAGAATACAAAAGAGAGGCCATTGTTAACAACAAAAGTAGTTATCTAAGCAACATATTAAGTTTCCATGAATTTTCTATCATTAGAAACATTAATCAAGATTTAATGATTATTTTCAAGACAAAGTCTTGTTCAAGCAAGCTAATTCAGAATAATGTCACAGAAGGTTAAATTAAATTATGAATAAATCATTAATCACTTCATCATTTAGAGCATGCTGCACTTTAATGTTGCTGAAATTATGTGTAGTTGTGCACAGCATTCTCAAATATCAGTGTTCTTTTAATGCTGGCAAGTTTTGAAAAGTATTCAAAAAGTATTTTTTAATTCTAAATTTTTGGTTACTGTGCTTTAAGAAAGAAGAAAGACATTCACTTCATTGTTGATAAATTAATTAATTGCATTTGGATGTAACCTATACCTGACTCCATACACCAGACTGACCAATTACGTGACATTATGGGACATATCAAAATCCTCATGTGGCCAAAGCCCGCAAGACCTAGATTGCCACTAATCCATTCATCTATCATACGTTTGGCAGGAAAAAGACACTTACAGAATAAAAGCCATGGCTAGACCATCTTTTCCTTTTTTTTCTTTTTTTTTCTTTTTTTCTTTCCCAAATAAAGATAAATTAACAGCATTTTCGAGTGATTATCAACAACAAACACAATGACTGTTCTACAAACTCTTGCATGAATATGGAAATCTGAACTTCTGAAAAGCCAGAATGGTCTTCAGAGTACTCAGCTAAGAGTAGGTGACAAATAAAGTTACCTGTAGAACACAAAACTGTAATTTTCAAATTAAATTTACTATTCTTTCTCATATAAAGCAGCAGTACATGCTGCATCAGTGACAATATGATATAAATCTCTCTCATTTGGACAATAACAGCACAAAGCAGCAGTGGGTCCATGGAGGGAAAGATATTAAAAGCCCCCCTTTGTGGTAAACATGGCTCTCTAGGAATGGCATTAGATTTGGGAATCCAAAATTGTATGATCCTACCATCCTAGAAAAATGAAGGCAGTATCCATTTACTATAGGTATGAGCAAATCTCTTTGTAACCTGGAAGTTTAGGCAGCTGCCCAAGGGCAACACAAGGACTGCTGGAAGTAGTATTCAATAAAGCTTACAAATCTGAGAAGAGAGAAGTGATTTATGCACTAAATTGCTTGATTGCAGTAAGAAACAACAGGAAACTCAGGTGATTTTCATTTATTGCTGCTGTTAACACACATTGTGAACCCTGTAGTCCTATAAAATAACCACTACCAACATATGCGTAAGTATATATATGTGTGTGTGTAAAATTATACTAATCATTTTGAAACTCATAAATTCATCATTTGCCTTAGTGACTTTTGGCCAAATAAGTAGCTTTCTGTTTTATCAGAAATGATTTCTCTACCAGCCACCATTCTCTGAGACCCAATAGCCAGCATCATTGCAGATACAACCCTACAACAGTAAGTCCTCCAGTGGGTCCTTACTACCATTTGGAAATCATTACCACAGTTTTGCAGCTTCTACTCATGTTCATAAGACACAAACTACAAGATGTTAAAACTGTTCAAAATCAGTCATGTAGAGGTGAAGACAAATGATAGAGAAACCTTTTTACATCTAATCCAATTCTAATCTAACCTGTATGTTTATACAATATCTCTTAATTACCATGATGGATACCTAAAATATAAATGTCAGCCAATTTTT